GTTTGGGTGACTGATTCCTGCCCTGCCCTCTCCTGCCCACCCTCCCCAGCCCTGCCCTCTCCTGCCACTCCTCCCCAGGCCTGCCCTCTCTTGCCACCCCTCCTCAACCCTGCCCTCTCCTGCCCTGCCCTCTCCTGCCACTCCTCCCCAGCCCTGCCCTCTCCTGCCACTCCTCCCCAGCCCTGCCCTCTCCTACCACTCCTCCCCAGCCCTGCCCTCTCCTGCCCGCCCTTTCCTGCCCTGCCCTCTCCTGCCCACCCTCCCCAGCCCTGCCCACCCTCCCCAGGCCTGCCCTCTCCTGCCACCCCTCCCCAGCCCTGCCCTCTACTGCCCACCCTCCCCAGGCCTGCCCTCTCCTGCCCACGGCAGTGAGGTGGAGCGGCCTCAGATGCTCCCTCAGCTCTGGCTGCAGGCTCTGGGCTGGGCAGACCCTGCCTGGGATGCAGTCATTCACCCTTGAGGTGTAGGATACTGACCTCAAAGAGGTTTCTCCTTGCCTTAGAGGAAAATTGATTCACAATGATACGGCGTTTATTCTCCCATGGTTTGTAACGCCATGAGAACCCTAAACTTAAGGTCATAAAGGGAGTATTAGGATTGATAAGAAAAGGGGGAGGTTCTCTGAGAGTTGGTGCTTCCCTTATGGCAGGGAAACAGGGACCCCATTATTTAAAAAAATTGATTAGAGCCAAACTATTTAAATAACTTTATTTCATCCTTTGGTAGATGAGAAAAATACATTACAAAATACATTATACAGAGGACAGCTCACAGTACACATTACTAAAAACACAATCTACATCTCAGCCAGGGCTGGTGATAAGGTCAGAAGACAGCCACCAAGGCCTTGAACACCGGTTTCCGCTCTATAGAATAAGGTTGCCCCTAGGGTCCCCACTTTCCCTAAACTTTAGCACCCCGTTATCAGGTGGGTGTGGGTGGAGTTAGAGCAGCATTGAGGGGGACTGTTGAACTCTCCATCCACCTGAAGCAGCAAGACATGAATCCCTTAAGAGAAAATGGGGGAATGACCAATGTTAAAGCATTACGGAACTGACATCCGTGGACGCCCAGGCGGCGGTCTCAGCGCTGGGCTTTCTGAGACGGAGCATCGTCACCGAGTCATCCCTGGCGCCTGTCATTGCGGTCATCATCTCATCTGTAGGCATCGTCCCTAAGAGCCTGTCTCAGCCCCAACGCGAGCACTGATGGTTCTAGTCCAGCGACTTCCTCCCTCCCTCTCCCCGCCCCAGCAGTTCCCGGAGCCTGGGGTGGGGGGACACAGGTGTCTACAACAGCCCCCTTACGCTAACCTCCCCAGAGGACCCATCTGATGGAGGTGGCTCGAAAAGAATCCACCATTTTTCAAGCCAAACAACGTCAGAGCTATACCTGTTTTATGAGACCAAGTGAAGCGAGAGAGAGGAGGGTGAGCAAAGAAGCGACCAGTGAACACTTCAGTGCTAGCCAGGAGCCGTCTCCGGGGAGGGAGGAGTCGGCGAACACCGGAGTTGTGGCTTACAGAGCATATTGCTGAGACCAGAGGCCGCGTACACACGAGACTGCCCCCATCCCCACTCAGTTCATTTAAAAGCAGTTCCGTGAAACAGCAGCCTGGTGAGCCTCCTTTCCCATTTCCTCGTTCTTAGAAATTTGGAAACATCTGCAAGTAGAAGAGAAAAGTAGTCCTAAGAATTAAGGTCATCATTTCAGCCTGCCGCACTGGCTCAGCAGGGCAGGCTCTGCAGGCTGGGGGAGCGAGCGCTGGTCGCTGCAGAGGCCTTCAGAAAGCCGAGGGCCGGCTTGTGCTTCCGCTCCACCTTTCTCTGGCTTCAGCAGTGAAGTGCAGCCGCTCATCTCGACCCCTCCCCCACCACCCAAACAGTTTAGGGGATGGGGGTGGGGTGGATGTGGGACCAAAAATAAAGATGAGTCAAGACCAGCATCTTCAAATTAACAAACTGTAATTGTTTTCCCAAAGATACATTTTTTTCCATACACATCCATCATACACTGTAACCAAAAAAAGCAGTGTACATGAGATAAGAGAAAATAAATTAAAAATCCATAGCATAGGTAAGGAGGCTCTATCTGGAGCACAGCTGAGTTTCCAGCAATGTAAGGAGGCTCAAAAGTTTCTTTTATAAGAATGCCTGCTAGCAAGGGTTCCAGCCAGGTGGTTGGTTGGTCTGTAAGTCAGTCTTGAGTACTTGAGACGGTTCGGTGTTGGTTTTTTCCTTAGCGTTTAGAATAGCCATCATTGTCCTGCAATAGGCAGAGCTATCACGTCCAGGAAAAACGAGGGAGGGAACCACAGAGGCAGCGTAAGATCCAAATACAGCATTCAAAGGTAATTGGTCCAGTGGTGCCTGGGGAGGGAGGCGGGGGATGGCGCTCCGGGGTTAGCCATCTTCCTTTGGGGGTGTGTACCAGCCTGCAAAGGAACCCAACGAAACAGTGAGGGGGCGCTGACGTCCCTGCTCCCAGCCCCTCGCTGAAGGCTCCAGGGTTCAGGTGAAATGACCCCAGACAGGACTTCCGGTGCGGGGAGAGGAGCAGGGGAAGCGGAACTGCCCACCTGGCGGTCACAGGAAGGGGAGAGGATGTGCCCAGCCCGAGATGACAGTGAGGTGAGCTTCCTCACAGGTGGTGGGAGGGGAGCACCAATCCACATGGGGATGACCTGGTGCTTTTCTGGGGAAGAGGCGGTGGAGGGAGCCACCTCCAGCCTACTCTGGGTAACGGGGGCAGGTGGCTGTGCTAACGGGCGAGAAAGGCTCAGAAACCAAAAGAAGGGGTTCTTGCGATTTGGCTGGAAGTGAAAACCTCGGGCCTTCCCAGTGTCCGAGTCTCGAGTCCTGGCTCCAGCCTCACCGTTTTTTTCGTGGATCTGCACCAAGGACTTGTAGGACTGCTGTGCTCTTGTCAGACTGTATTGAGACTGGGGAGAGGAAGCCGCCAAATCAGGCCGTGGCCAGCTGTGGCTTTCCTCACCTTCCCGAGACCGTCACCCAGAGACCCAGACATGTAAGTGCCCCCACCTGTGGGCCCCTCTGGGCTGCAACCCCACAGCCCTCCCTTTCCAGGCCCGGGTCCTCGCCTCAGGCCAAGGCCCTCTCCTGACCCCACCGTGGGTGCCCAGGCCCACCCATCCGATGCCAGAGCCCAGAGGGCTTCATCCCCGAGGCCCTCAGAGACGGCAGCCTGGGCCTGCCAGTGGCCCCGGCGGTCCCAGGCTCCAGGCCGCTGAGCAGGCCCGGGCCCAGCTCCTTACTTTGTTGGCTCCGAACTGCACTCGTGCTTTCCCCTTCACCAGCGTGGCACTGATCTGCATGATGACGGACTCTATCGAGTAGGCACTGCTCCAGCCCTGGGCATCGGGGAGAGAAAGCAGCACGTCAGGCGAGTTCCCAGAAACCTTACACCGTCCTCCGCAAGGAGCTGCATCTGTGGAAGGGCCTGCCCTTCACCCCGGAACAGCCACCACCTGTTTGGGTCCGTGGGTGTCAGGCTCTGCCTGGCAAATGAAAGGGCCACCTTAAGCCCATCGCCCCAAACCCAAGAGCGTGCGGTAAAGCTCAGCTGAGCCCCGCCCTGGCCAAGTGACCAAGAGCAAGAGACAGGCTCACCTGCTTGGTGAGAAGCTCCATGCAGATGGCGCCTCCACCCAGAACATACCTGCAGAGAAAGGTTAGTCAGTTGTGCCTGGCAAAGCTCACACCCCTTTCTCACCTTCAGTAACAGGAGCCGCCCTCCGCCACTCACCCTCCGGAGAGGACTGGAGACACAACCCTGACAAACGGTGGGTCAAATGGAAAGTTATCCTGTGAGAGACAAAGGCAATGATTGGGGGAGGCAAGTGTCGGCCACAAGGTTGTACCAGTCAGGTGGCGGAGGCGGCCTGGGCCCAGAAGGGAGGAGCTGGAGGGGAAGCAGACTTACTTTAAAGGAAAAGTTAAGTAGGATGAAGTCTGCACCTTCTTTCTCTTTGAGGATCTGGAGATCGTTGTGCAAAGCGCTGTCCTGGTCAACTCTATGAAGCAATGCGCCTGGGCTCAGACTCCTTGTCCTCGCTCAGGAGCCTTGTGTCCACCCCCACTTCCCCTGGCAGGCAGCAGAGGGACCCCCCCTGCCCACACCTGCTCCTGGGACTGCCCAAGACTGCCAGCAGGGGCTCCCCACGTACTAGGCCCCAACTTCCTTTCCAATCCCAGGGTCCCCACTCACTTGAGGAGTTTGACATTCCAATCATAAAGGCTGTCATTCACGAGTTCGACTGCATAGTTTCCTGGAAGGCGGGAAGACGGGTGTTAGGATGCTCCAGCTGAAGGAAACTATCGAGGCTCCAGGTGCACCCCTGGACATGCAGCCGCTCTAAGCCACTGGCTTGCGGAGCTCCGTTCTGGCCCAGGTCCTTCTTTATGAGAAGCTCCGGCTCAGGCCCTCCCAGAGGCTAACTCACCGCCTTTGAAACTCTGTGATCGGTATATATCCCTGAGCTCCTTCATCAGCCGGTCAGTGGCCTGCACCGAGCCAGACACTGCCCCCTGCAAGGGAGAGAAGACAAACATCTCTGGGTCAGGTGGTTTGAAAACACACATACTAGACCTTAACAGGACCTGAGCAAGGATTAGGCACACCCGTAACTCATGCCAGAAAACAACCTGCTCCCAGACCGATACATGGTGGCCCACCACCTTCTGGCCGGTACCCACCAAACCCTGGCCCAGCCTCTCCCTAGAAGGTACGTACATTTAAGTAATCTTGCCTCTGGTTCTTTTTAATTTTCTCTAGTATGGCCAAGTTTTCTTTTCCGATGCCATCATCTTCAGATTTCTTGCCCTCAGCTGGCTCTTCCTCTTTCATTTCATAGTGATCCAGGTCTTCTGTGTCCTGGGGCGGTATGGGAGGGAGGAGAAAAGAAACCAATACGGGCTGTGGAGAGGGCCATCGCCTTCCCAGTCCTATTTGGTCTAGAGCTGCAAGTTAAGGACCAACGG